GAGGCATATTGAAGGGGATTTCTTTTGCACGAAACTTGTTAGGCAGACTGCGTTTCCAGAAACATGACTGAAGCATTAATCCAAAGGCGGTTATAAGGAGTAGACAACCACCAACAAAAAGGGGTTCAATGTGAAGAAAGTGCCCTAATAGGATTCCGGCAATGCCAAGAATCACACCTCCAATGGGTAGACCGTAAACAAAAATGTAGTGAAAGATGCGCAGGCATTTGCGGAGCTTTCGTTTTCTTTTTGTGCGCTTGTGAACACTGCGTAAGAATTCGAGGTGTGCGGAGGGATGGACTGCGGTGGAGTCCTTCACATTTTCATTAGTCGAGCCAGAAATTGACGTAAGTGTTGATAACGATGAAAAGGAGGCGGGGGAGGAGTGAGGCAATTCAAATCTGATGGAACATTGCACTCCATTTGATGAGTTTTCAACTACTTCAGGGGAAAATTGACTTTCACAATGCGGAGGGGATGTTTTTACAGTGGATTGACTATCTGTGGGGCTTGCAGGTACTACTTGCTCAACCCTTTGGACTTGATGTATGGACATACTTCTTAAAGCATTTTTGCTGAGGACCTTATAGTCATTAGTATCCACGCTAGAAATGGCGATATTTATTTTATTTGGCCAGGCCAAGTGATTGGCCATCGCACATACTTTCTAGGTCACGTGGGAAGAGCCAATTGCAGGGAGTTCGGTCCTCGCAACAGCTGATTCAAGCACCGTTGTTAGACTGCATCTTCGGTAGTCACTGGCAGCAAAACATGTCTGTAAAAATATTTCCGGACAAAATTATGTATGTGAATTACATCAATGTCTTTTTCACCTCAAAAACTCGAATTCTAAAGGAATTTTGAGCCTAAACTAAATAAGGAGAGAATTTAAGTCATAAATAAATCTTGCTTTTAGTAACAGCCTACTTGGGGCTTCGTCACTGTACCCTGTCCTGATCACTGGGCTAAGCCGGTAGGCCTAAAGCCCTCCTCAACGTTGACAATACATATTCTGCTTGAGTTCAATGTCTTCTTTTGGATTTGGGGAATTCTCGGGGCTCTAGAGTTTTATTTATGCAAAATTTGGGTGCAAACCTTACATCCCCACCCGATACGAAGGGCAGTACCTGACATTTTTGGCGAAATGACTATCCTAAGGCGAATGACTTGTCATCTATATTATCCATACCTAAGATAGCTGGTGCGGTCCAAAAAAAATATCCCCATCCCGGCAAATAAATGTCCACTTTACTAAGCAGAAAGGGCTGTTGTCAGTCTAGACGGTGTATGTATAGACCACTGTAGGGAAAGCTTATCTCATTCCCCTTGTTTGTTTGTCCGTTTGATTGTTTATGCGATTTATAAGTGCATAGTATGTGTGATAGACAGTACCATCCCGATTTATGACAGTGTTGGGCATATCGTCAAGCCGATGGGAAAATTGCTCACAAACCCACCTCGGCATGCCCCTCCTAATAGCTCATTTGTAGAAATCGTCAAGGGTCAGAAGTAACAACCATCTGTAAGGGTATTTTGAAGGCACTTAAAAGTGTTAGTTGAGTGCGGGTCCCGATAAAAATGGAGTAAACGTGGCTTTTATATATTATATTTCATGCATGAGGCAGCGAAGGTCATAAAAACGGGGCTAAAGAAAACGCGGCACTTAAGCTTTTTCCACAACCTTTTTAAATAACTACAAAGAGCACAAATGTTTCACTTTTTAATAGCGAGGTGGCGGTAAAATCCGTGGTGGAACTTGGTCAAACTCGGTAAGCACGGAGGTGAAAAGGCGAGCTTCAGCCCAAACGATAATTTGTCATATTTCATTTGACTTGACGAGAAGCATAACTTTCTAACATGAATTTCTTGTGCATTTCAAACATTATGGTTTAGCTGTACGGGCATAAGCATGTGCTATTTTTCCTGCCCTGAAGATACCTCATGCTTAGTATTGTGTTCGGAGGCTTCCCAGTTCGATAGTAAAACGATTTGAGCAGGAGGAGCCTCAATCTCTTGACTTTCTATGAGATTTTTAAACTAACGAAAAAGATAATTACAGATTTGGTAATGCTATTGCCTTCGTCAAGATAGCGACCCATTGTGCTCAATCCCATTCAAAAAGTTGAAGGAGGCGTTAAAGTAATTAATGCCACGACTTTTCTTGGCCAATTTGAAACCATTGTTTAATTTTTGCTACACTGCGAAAAAAAGGAACCAGTTTATCTGCAGAGTCCTCCAAAAATGCCCACAACACATACGAAGTCTAGCCATATCGAATGAAATGGAGGGGAGAGCAGTTTATCTGAATGCTCATTTTTACAGGTATATTCTGCCTCCGATTTGATGATGCTCGAAGGGAAAAGGGTTTTTAGTAAGCTAATAAAATGAATATATGGGTGGTGTTCATCGGTGTCGTGCCTCATAAAACTGCACAAACCTTTTAATGGAGTGCAAAAAGCATGCTCCACATGCAGAGGAGACTTTTTTGCCCGATTTTCTCGCCTAGAAGGGGTTTAGGCTAATGGCGCCTCACCGGATTTCCCGATTTTTCAAATCCTCCAAAGCCCTGCCTCAGTACCACTGGCTAAAATGATTTATACCTGAGGAGTGATTTACAACGAGGGCATGAAGAGAGGCTGTTTTTTCTTCCTCTCCATGGAGAGGTTAATTCTATGTATAGTATCTTCACCATCAGATAGCATATATTGTTGAAAAGGGGAACGGAAAGCAATTTCTGGAGAATAGATTAGGCACTGTAGACTCATAATGTTTACAATCTGCGTATGCTTCAGTTACCTTATTTAGAAGTAGTCAAATTCCTTTGTTTTATTTTTTAGCCGTTCTAAATTTGTATGCAAAATGAAAAACCGTTCAGACCATTAGTTCTTATAGAAGTGCTCACCATCATGATGGGACAATTTTTATCATTTGATGAGCGCCAAATTCACTTTAAAACAAAAAAGTGGGAAAAAAGTGGTATAGTATACGCAAATAAATATTGAGGTTTGTTTTATGTGTCACCTTAAGGTGTCTGGCCACTCAGTAGATCCGAGTTGCGGCGGAGTGGGTGAACAAAAGGATTATTCAGCTTCACAGAGGAAGGAGAAGTCATTAACCAGGTTGTTAGAAGAATTATCATCGTATATATAGACAGAGTTGTGAGCATAGCATTTGGAAGGCACTAATGATTCGTGCGTTCATTTATCAGACGGAATGCAAAAGCCTTTCCTCTTCACCTTTCAGTCAGGCAGACAGTCATCAAACAATCCTCTGCCTCTGGTGCCTGCGACTTTTACAAACACAAGTAAGGGAAGTGAGGAAGAGGAAAAACAACAATTTGGAAGTTCTTGTTACTGATTTTCGTCATCCACTGTGGCTGGGTGGGAGCATTTGCCCAGTAGCTTCCACCACCTCCCCGACTCCATTGATGTGGTGCAAACCACAACCAAATCTCCAAACTGCATAATGCATCACTATGAGCACATAATGCTTCGTTTCCCTTTGAATAGGGGTACTAGCGTCTATGAGCAGCATCCGTCTTTAAGTCCTTTGTGGTAGGTCTGTTCTGCCGCCACGTACTGCAGCTTCTGCGCCTATTCTATGCCGAGGGAAGCCCGTGGAACTTTTAAAACGAGTAAACCTGGTCTCATAAAGGCGGCAGGCAAAATCCACCCGCATCGTGCATGAGCTAGAGTAGCACCTTGAGTACTATACCGATGAACCGACGTCTGTCTACCTGTCTCTCCTTCTACTGCTTAGGAAAAAAGGATTTAAGGAATCTCCGGAGGTTTGCATTAGTAACAGTCTTATCATTTTTTCATCAGACACGAATTCGCTTGGACACAGCCCAAGGGCTGTGTCCACTAGTGAGGCATCAACGATTTTTCAGCAAATTACCCCTATCAGCCTGCTGACGACAGACACCTACTTCTCAAACCAGTCAAAAGTACACATTTGATGGCATGAAAACGGAAATTGCGTAACTCTCCCCAACTGCCTCTATTTTACTGCAACCTTATAAAAGTGCAGACGATCACAGGGTAGATAGTTAGATAAAATTTTCCAGACATCCTGGACTTGTCTAAGAAGCTTAACTTCCTCACAGGGCGCTTGTTTAAATGCGTCTCCGTCAGAACACGTAACTGGCGGGACTGCTCTACCAACTGCATACAGGATGTGTAAAATAAACTTAGCATAGAATTTGTGCTCATCTTTCCTTAAAATATAAAAATATTTTATGAATTCGTTGCCATAGTGTCGTCTATTTACACTTATCTCCTTTTTTATCAACAAAGTAGCAAATGCATTTCACAAGCCATCTTTAAGTTAAGGTGACTGACGCGGTGCTTCTTTCAGAGCCCTCTTGAATAGGCGTAAAACAATTGTTCCTTTATTTTACTCCTGTCTGAGGGAGAGAGGGGAGAAGGGGGAGCAAAAACAGAAAAGTACATGCTTGAAGGTTTAGGAATGACCTACTTGATCATCCAAGTTTTTGTCCCACGTCTTCACTCCGATTAGGACGCGCATTACCTCTAAGTAGACTTTCCAGCTATTTTTTTTTCCAGTCATAAAACAAAAAAGCAAAAAGCAGGATGTGTGTTAGCACACGGCTACCTTGACTGCCAGCTATGTGGAGAGTAGGGTAGTTGAAGGATGGAGCAAGTAAATCTGACGTGATTCCCCCTACGTGCGTTGTGAGTTCACCAACCGGAAATAGGTGTAAACTGCCCGGCGATGGGAAAAATGCCAAGTTAAGGGGAAATTTCCACCCTCCTCCACTGGAATCAATGTGGACAACGTGCATTACTAACCGCATCGGCACACGCTGCGTCTTGTCAGG